CCCGGCTTTTTTGTGTGTGTTCTTAAAGCAGAACAAAATGCCTCCCTATATGCCATCACTTACTGTGAAGGGTAAAAATGTCACGTACCTTAAGTGACAAATGATTCCAGCCATCTCATGGTGCCCCTCCTTCTTTTTCAGGCCTTGATCTATTACTGCAAAGCACTAACTGAAACCAACCTGGAGCTCCAGAAGGCAGCGTGCCTGGCCCTGAGAAGCCTGCAGGTAAAGCCCAGCCTCAGTATTTCTCATCTCTTTTTGACCATGTATTAGTGTGGGCTCCTTACTTCTTTCCCTTAAACAGTAATTGCATGTGACTAAAGTCAACAATGGCAGAAAATGCTTTTGCAGTAATCCACAGGAACCAGTTTGCCTTTGGGTTAGTATTAGAAAAGTAGCTTATCCCCAAATAAAGATGACAGGGTCATTTCGCCACTATTTATGGTAGGAAAAAAAGCAAGGAAAAGTCCATTTTGCAAAGAAGTAGCCAAATTCATTGCGCCACTAAGTTTCCAGATCCTTTCCCATGAAGCTCTTTATTAGTTACAAACTGATCTCAATTGTGTTGGACCAGTCAGGGAGCTGAGAGAGAGCTAAAATGTAAACGGAAAAAGAAAGGGCTGAGAATTCCCAGCCAGAGTTTATCTTTCAGTGGGCTACGTTTAATATTTGAACTACCTTTAAAAATAAATCAACAAGACTAATTAGTCCTGAGAAAAGAATGAGAAGGCCACACCTTCAAACTGGCTAAAATCTTGGATGGGCTGGTGGGACGGGGGCAGGGAGCTCCGGGCGGATGGGACATGAAGAAAGGGATTAATGCCTCAAAAGAAAAAGTTAATGAGCTGTGAAGAAAAACAACTGTGGGAAACTTTGCCTTCCTTGTTACTTGGTCAAAAAATTACCTTCAAATAGGAAAAAAAAAAAACAAAAAACAAAGAACGGCGAATTCGGCAAGGTTCCAAAAAAAAGGGCCAGCCGGGGTGGGAGGTGTGTGATTCTGACTTTATATAAATGAACCCAGTGAGCTCTCTGCATTTTCATGGATTTAGGTGTTGTGCAGGTGAAAGCAAAGGCTCCACTTTTAATCCTGGAATCTCTCAGGTCTAGGGACACAGATTCCCCCTTGCTCCCTACCTTCTAAGAGACGGGATCCTTGCTACTGAAGAGAAGATCCTCTTCCTAACCCATCTTACAGCCCCAGCTCCTGAAGAAGGTTGCCTCCCAGTCCCTGCTGCCCCGGCACCAGCACCGACTCAGCCCATTGCCCGTGGCGATTATTCCTCGTTTAGCCACCTGTCTCTCCACTGAGCTGTAAACTCTTCGGGCCAGGACCACAACTGACTTACTGTAACATCTCCCAGGTCTTGAGAACTGTCTGGCTCATAGAATACTCAGTAAAAGTTTGTAAAATATGCAAATAGAAGAATTCCCATCATTGGCTTTTATTCTTCTCTTCTATTGCAGTACATAAGCTAAAAATTGGAATTCTTTCTTAAGTTTTATTTTTAATTGACAAATATTTTATATATTTATGGAGTACAATGGGCTGTTTCGGTATATGTACAGGAATTCTTCAGTTAGGGTTTGTTTTGTTTTGCCAAATGGAGAGTGGGAAGAACTAGGAAAAGCGGGTTCCGATCTGGAAAAGTGGGTTCCAATCTGGAAAAGCAGGCTAATCACCTCAGTCCTGGAGTTCTCTGTGGAATGAGGAATTCAGCTACATCAGAGCTCCTGCAAGCACACATCGCTGGTCCCAGCTCAGAAAACCCCAGCATGGGTCATCCAGGGTGGCAGTGAGGAATCTACACTTTAAGGGGCTCCCAAAGTGACCTTGACATCCACCTCAGTTTGGGATCCTCTAAGTTGGGTTTTTAAAATTTCTACCAGCAATGAAATGCTAAGTCTCAGGAACCTCAGAATACTATTTAAACTATTTTTCCCCATAGGCTACGGAGAGCATTAAAATGCTGGTGACCTTGTGTCAGTCCGACACTGAAGAGATGAGAACTGTGGCCTCAGAAACCCTCTTGTCTCTCGGTGAGTTCTGCTTTTCATGTGAATTTACTTCTGAAATTCTCAAAGGAAAACGTAGAGAGAAGTTTGCTGTATCCTGTTTTAGCAGTGCTTGCTTCTGGGGGCTGCCTGCTCATCAGAGGGTGAGAAACAACTTGATGTCTGTCTCCAAACCCCTTGTTCTGTCTGGATGCTGAGAGTGAAGTTCACTTTCAAGACCCTTCCCACATGGTTCATCAGTCTGTTCCCTAATACCAGCACTTTGGAGACAGAGGCAGAAGAATCATGAGTTCAAGGCTAGTCTGAACTACATAGTAGAACTCTGTCTCAAAAGAATAAATAAAAAATAAAAAGGGCCATGGAAGTCAAACCATAAAACAGAGGCAGTAGAAATCCAGGTTGGATTGCCAGCATGGAGTTGGGACTCCCCAGAAGACAGGATTGGTTGAGGGACCAGGGAGTGCATCTGGGAACGCTACCCACCCCAGGCACCACAGAGTCACTCTGACCCCCGGGCTAACCCAGGATTGCCCTACTGGCCTTTGCCCCCCTGGGCTCTGGCAGCAAGGAAAACAACTAAAACCTTTATTCTGGTCTCCAGTATCCAGATAACACTTGCCCTTTGCTTTTTCTTTCTTTTTCCCCCTTCACTTTATAAAGTTTTATGCTTAGCATGTTTCATACTTTTAGTCTTTTGTGGGCGGGGGTTACTTAGGAGAGTAAGAAAAGCCTTTCTTAACTCTGCATAAAAATATATAAGTATTTGTTATAAATAAATTTACTATCCTCAGATACTCTTAACATCTAGAAACGATACTCTGAAAGTCTTCAAACATAATCCAGCCCATAATGTCTCCTAGACAAAGCCTCCCAGGTTAAGTGTAGTATCTTAATTATGTGTGGGAGACGCTCATGGCATTTATAACCACCATGAAATCCCATTCATCGTTAGGCCTTCTTTCTTACAATTATGGGTTTAATAAGACTTTGTTCTGCTATTGAATATATCATTTGCTGCACAGAAAGCTTAGCTGGCATGTGTTTGCTTAAAGGATAAAATAAGTATTCTTTATGACTGTTTTTTTAGATATAGAAGTTATTTAATTCTCTAAATGTGCCCAGAGTGTTATTAGTTTAAACTCCTTTTTTCCTTAGTGTTCTAAAATAACAATGAAAGTTAAAAAAAAAAAAAAGTCAACATTTGTAAAGTATAGCCAAAGGTGCTCGGTGCCCCAAGAGTCACTTGAATTGCACAAGCACCAGCGTCTCAGAACAATCATTGGACCTGCTCTACCTTCACTCTGCACAATGCTCAGCCCACCCTTGGGGCACGGTCCTCAGCATGATGCACCCCAGGGCAGCTGCCACACTTCCTTGCCTGCTTGTGTTGGTCTGAACTTTATCTTTGCAAGGAAGCCTTTTAAAAGCTTTCCAGGTGATTCTAATATGTGATGAAGGTTGAGAACCCCTCAAGTCAACATTATGAGTCTTCTTTTACCCTAATACACAAATACTGGTGCATTTCTCTTCCACACAAATAAGTTAATTAATATAGTAAAATGGTATTTTCAGTGGGAATTGATAAGACACCCTGACCCAAAGGATTGGAAATCATCACAGCCACTCAAAGTTCTCAGCAGCAACTATTTACCAACTAGTGAGGGATTATTTCAACATTTCAACCAAAAGCTTGTAGTAGATCCCTCTGTGACAACAGGGATGTTTGTAATTCACTGTCCATTGTAGCAGCTGGTAAACACATGCAGCTACTGAGCAGTTCAGTTTAGCTACTGTGACTAACTATGAAGCTGTAACCAGAAAGAGAGATGTAGCTCAGGGGTAGAGCACTTACCTTAGCATGTGCAATGTCCTGGGTTTGATATCCAGCACTGGAGAAAGAAAGTTTTGATTTCATTTCATTTTGAGTAGTTACTATTTAAACGTGAATAGTCGCATCTGGCTGGTGGCCACTATACTAGATTAAATGGTTTTCACCTGACTGCAACTTTGAACCATAAACCCAGGCACTCTCACCTCTAAAACTCTGCCTATGTCACAAGCCTTGGCTGTGTCATGGTAATAATACAAATTGAATATCTCTTATTTGTATTCTTGGGACCAAAGGTGTTTCTTACTTGAGATCTTTTCAGATTTTGGGATATTTGCATATACATAATAAGATAGCTTAGGAACGGTCCCATACCACGACCCACACAGCTAGTGGGGGTCCTGAGAGGGGACTACAGGAGATTAAGAAAAAACTAGACACATAATAAAAAGAAAGCTGGGACTAGGTGGAACCTGACCTCTCTGATGGAGAGGCAGCGACAACCCAGCACAGTCTTTGTCTTTATTTATACACAGTAAAAATGGGGGAAGCATGTGAGGGGGCCAAAAGTGCAAGGTCTCAGGGTTTTGCTGAGAACACTGAAAGGGAAACATGATCAGAGCTATCCATGCTGTAGTTAACCGGGAGGAACACCAGGGCTGGACACCTGTAGATATGCCACTGAGCTAGAGGTCAGCTTGTTTACATGGTCTGCCCTGGAAGCCTGTGTTCTTGGGCCTGGCCTTGCTCTACTCCTGAATGTGTGGTCAATCTCCAGCTCAGCCATGGCTCAGCTGCTCCCCACAGTCCCAGGTCTTAACATAAGTCATTATGTTTCATATATACCTTATGCACAAAGTTTAAAGGAAATTTTATGCAATTGTTTCATTTTGACTACAATTGTTACATTTTGACTACAACTCATCGCAGGAAGTCAAGTGTGGAATCCTCCATTGTGGAGTCATGTCAGTATTCAAAACGTTTTGGATTTTTTGTTTGTTTGTTTTTGGTTTTTCTCTGGTACCAGGAACCGAACTCACGACGTTGCACTTGCCAGGCAGGCGCTTTGCCACTGAGCTAAATCCCCAGCCCCTACATTTTGGATTTTAGAGTATTTCAGCTTTGGGATTTCAAGTTGTGGATGCTTAGCTTGCATTAGGACCTGTTCTGCACTAGACTGTATTTTGAGGGATCCATGTAAGTAAGCTCATCCTGTCTTCCCAAGAGTGCCATGCAGGACAAAGCACAATTAGCCCCATTTTATGCAGGAGCACACAAAGGCATGTTGGGTGTGTTAGTTTTCTATCACTATGACAAGATACATGAGCTGTAACCATTTAAATGAGGGAAGGTTTATTTCTGGCTCATGGTTTCAGTGATTTAAGTCCATTGTCACTTGGCTGTTGCTCTTGGGCTCTGACAGCACAGTACATCATGGCAGAAGCACATGCAGAGGAAACTGCTTGCCTCATGGTGCCTGGGAAGTAGAGAGGAGAAAAAACTCATGTTCCAATATCCCTTCTTAAGTCACACCCCCAATGACCTAATCTTCTCCCACTAGGCCTCTTCTTCTAAAGGTTCCATCTTCCACTAGCACCACAGGCTAGGGACAAGTCTTCAACACATAACCTCCAGGGACATTCAAGATCCAAACTGTACCACCGAGGCTGTGTACCTTGCCAGTGGACAGCTAGATCCAGTCAGGCACCAAGGTGGAATCTTAACCCCCTAGGTCCCTAGACTTCATGGGACTCTGGGGAAGAGCTGAACACCTGAGCTGGACTTTATCTCTGAGTGGACCAGGAGTTTGCCTGGTGTCAGTGGTTCTTCAAATAGTATTTGTAAGCCAGGCCTGGTGACCTCCCAGAACTCAGGAGGCTGAGGCAAGAGAATTGCTGTAAGTCCACAGCCATCTTGGCCTACATAGTGAGTTCAAGGATAACTTGAATTACATAGCTAGACCCTGTATTAGAAAAATAAAGACACAAAACAAAACCAATAGCATTTGTTAGTTGAGCTTTCCACAGGCATGTGTGAGTGGACAAGGGGCAGGCATGCAGACAGGCCAGTGCGGGCTCCCTGTCCCTTCATCTCCCCTGCAATCAACTGGAAAGTTCCTGTTTTAAACCTGTTCTATATGTCAGGAGCTTTGCACAGTTTCACGTAAAAGGTCCCAATATAAAGTAATAAAAAGTTGAAAATGACAGTACTAGAATAAATATAGTATTGCCTCAAAATTTCCCAAGCATGTAGAGGCAACAGAAATCTCCTATAATTAGCAAGTTTTTGTTTTTGGAAGTGTTCACTACAAGACTCTTAAATACAGCAGATCTCTCTACATATTCCTGGAAAAGTTAAATGTGAAAAAAATTTCAAATTAAGCTTTTGGCTTATTGAAAGGTCCATGTTTCCAGAGAGTATATAATATATTTAAAATCCATGATTTAAAGGAAAAATGCTTTTCTAATACTACTCATATCAATATATTTCTATCATTTTATGAATCTTTTCACTTTTCTTTTCCTTCACAATGAACTCCTGATTGAAAGCAATTAGTTATTTCCATCTTTGTCTCATTTGTATTAAATGTAGGAAACCGTGCCTTTTTTTTCCTACAAATTTTGTTGCTATATTTTATTTCTTCCCTTTTGTTTTGTTTTGTTTTGGTTTGGTTTTTGGTCCTAGGGTAGGATCCAAGGCCTCACGCATGCTATGCATGCACTCTGCCACGGGGCTACAATCCCAGCCATCACTTTCTCATTTCTTAATCAGTTTTTTCTAAATAGTAAAATTAGAACAAAATAGCATATTATTTGAAAATATATCCTAGCTGCTCAAGAGGTTGCTACAGACAAAACTGAACTAAGTATTGCCTGGTAGAAAGCATCTCACTGTATGTTTACAAGGCAAAGAATTATTTTGCAGCTAAAGTTTCCAAGCCTAAATTTGACAAATGATCATTTAAGTGTAAGGATATGTACTGTAGAGAAAAAAAAAGTTATGTAGAAGTTAAATTCACTGAGGTCTAGAGTCGCTGTATTTAACACACAATCCAGGCACAAGGTATGGTGGCACATAACTGTAATCCCACCACTCAGGAGGCTGAGGCAAGAAGATTGCTGCCTGCGCTATATAGTGAGTTCAAGGCCAGCCTGATCTTTTGACACTGTCTCAAAAGACCAGCAAACCAAAAGGGCATACAATCAGAGAATAAATCTAGTTTGTAAAAGTATTGACATCAGACCACCACAAGACTCCTGCTTTATGTCACGCCTTGGCATTCTTTTGGTGTCTGATATTGGCTCAGAAGTTCATAGTTGTTCTAAACAATATTTAGAAATCAATGACATAATTAATAATAGTAGGTGACTTTTCCTTAACATAGCAAATGGCTTACAATGGCAACCCAGGGTGGGAGGAGGGAGGACAGGGAGTAGCATCCCATGGCTAAACCACTGATGTCAATTTATTTTGAGTGCCGAATAAAAATGTTAAGTTCATGTTTACTGTTCTGTATCTAGGAGAAGATGGACGGCTGGCCTATGAACAGTTGGATAAATTTCCTCGAGACTATGTTAAAGTTGGAGGTCGGCATGGAACTGAAGTAGCCACAGCCTTTTAATTACAAATTAACTCTGCCTAACTACTGTCCTAAATCTCGCCCTCTCCATCAAGAAGGTGCTGCGATCTATCTGGAAAGCGTCTAGAACTTGAGAAGTCCTGTTGAGGTTGTCTGGAAACCTAACGTGTTACAGAGAGCCCTCAGTTCAGTTCCACAGTACCTTTCCGCTTTCTCTTTGACCAGTAGAATAGGGCTATATAATATTCAGTAGATTACATTGTTGGTTATGTCTGACAGTACTCAGTGGAAAAAAAAAGTCCATCTTATGTACGGAACTTTAAAATAGCTATCTTTGTACTTCTGGAAGCCCTTCTATAAGCTTGAAATAGTTGTGCGATATTTCAATAAATCTATGCCTTGCAGTTTCTCTGTCATGTTCTCAGGGTTGAGTGGCCCTTTAGCTACCTAATTTTACTTTAAATACAAAGCACAAAAAGAAAAGAATTTCTTCAAATAAAAGTTTGCCTACAGAACCTGATAAAATGACCCACTGTCAGAGTCTAACTTTTGTATTTTACTTTTTTAAATGCCCACTGGTATGTTTGTTTCCTTTTTCTACGCTGAAATTCCCAAATCAGCCAGGCGTGGTAGTGCATGCCTATAATTCCAGCACTTGGGAGGCTGAAACAGGAGGATCACAAGTTCAAGGCCAGCTTTGGCTATACAGTGACTTCAAGGCCAGCCTGAACTACATAGGGAGACCCTGTCTCAAAATTAATTAATTGCCAGGCATGGTGGTGCATGCCTGTAATCCCAGCACTCATGAGGCTAAGGCAGGAGGTTTGAAGTAAGTTCAAGGCCAGCCTGGATTACCTAGAGAGTTCAGGGCCAGCCTGAACTACAAAGCAAGACCCTGTCTCAAAAACCGAAATAAAAAATAATTAATCAATTAAGAATTAACTCATTAAAAATAAAAAAGAAATTTTGTATTTCTATTATAGTAAAAAGGTAAATGACTAAGAACTATCTTATTAAAACTATACTCATACTCTTAAAAGCAAACAAAAACCTCAAATTTTAAACTTTTTAAAAATTAAAAACAGCCACTTTTATGGTACTATCCCCTTTAGATAATTTGATGCTAAGACAAATCAAAACCAAAAGTTGCAAATTCAGAAAACTGTGATGCTCTTTGGGGCTCTCGAGGCTGCTTTGGAAGAACTTAAAACTTGGAGGAGTCCTCATGGGGTAGGAATAGAGGGACATTAGACATGGTCTTTGCCAGGCATGGTGCTGCACGCCTATAATCCCAGCCCTCCGGAGGCTGAAGCAGGAGGATCACGGCAAGCTCAAGGCCAGCCTGGACCACATAGTGAAACCCTGTCTCAAATAAACAAACAAAAATAGTTCCTGCTTCTATAAAAATAACTGCGAGATTAGAAAGAAGAAGGATGTCCTAGGAATGGAAACTGCCCCTGGAGAAATCCTTCACTACTGGGTAGGATGCCTGCTCCAAGTGGTTATGACAGCAGCTCCCAGTATTACTCTGGCATCTTGGGAGAAAGTCCATTCACAAGGGCTACCAGTCCTTTCAGAATAGCTCTCATTAAATAACTTCTGTCCCTCTAAAGAGTATGCAGCTGGGGTATGCCAAGGTATCAAAACAATGTACGTAAGTGTAATTTAAAACTGTGGAATATCAGTTGTATTCTTGATGTGTTTGTATAAAATATCATTTAGATGTCATTTTAAATATTTCCATTTTAGCAAGACTTTTAAAAAGGGTTCATTTCATTTTAAAGTGAAAATTGTTTGTCAGGCTTCTGGCAAAATAGTTCTTTGAACTGTGAAGTTACAATGTATATATGTGTATATTTATAAATATTATATATATGCATATATCTTTCATTTTAAAAGTACATTGTACAGTCTATAGTTAGTGTGTATAGTGTATGGTCTATGTTAAGTGGTTGAAATGGTTCTTTTTATAGAAAGTCAAGTCACAGGTGTTACAGGGGTTTTTTTTGTTTGCTTTTTGCATTTTAAAAATTTTTGTGAATATTGCATGAGTAATTAATTCCATATCTTTTGTATTTACTTCTGCATTTTATCTTGGTTGGGGGGTTGCTTTTAGTTTTGTGGCATTTATATTCATCACTCAATCATATAAGTTAAAATAAAAATTATTTTTAATTACTCCTGTGCAGAGTCTGATGTGTTTTTTACATGCCTTTATTGAGTTAGTATTTACGCTACACCTCCTTTTCTTTTTTTTTTATTTTTTTATTTTTTTATACACCTCCTTTTCAACTTGAGTTTATTCTTATCTTAAAATCCCTTCATCTATAAATAGAGAACACTTCTGAGATATCTTAAAGTTTCGGGTCAAAAATGGAAGAAAGAAAGAGATAAGAGAAGACCATTTTAAACCAGAACTAAATCAGCTCCTCTGCATTCCTTTGCAGTGTGCTGAAGGTGACCCAGCCAGGCCACAGTGCATGCTGGTGTTAGAACTAATCAAGTAATAGCAAATACAGTCAAACCTTGTTTTGTGAGCATAATTTGTTCTAGAAACATGATTGTAATCCAAAGCACTTGCATATCAGCAAATTTCCCCATTAAAAAAGATAAAACTCAGATGATTCATTCCATAAAATATTAATATGAAATATTACAATTGTCTAATATAAAATAATAAAGAAAATACAAAATATAAAGAAAAATAAACAAACTAACCTGCACTTACCTTTGAAAACCCTCATGGCCAGTGTGAGGGAGTCAAGAGAGAGGAGGGTTATTGTGTAGGATGACTTCACTATCACTAACAGAATCACTGCTATCTATTGGTTCAATGGAATCTTTTTCTTTTTTTCTTTGTTTTGTTTTTTTTGTTTTTCTTCCAGTACCAGGAATCAAACTCACGACCTTGCACTTGCCAGGCAGGCGCTGTGCTGCTGAGCTAAATCCCCAACCCCTGGAATCTTTTTCTTTTTGTGCAACTTTAACAAGAAACCTATCAGTGACACTTGCTTTTGCCTCCTTTTGAGGATTTTGTGGAAATGTGATACTGTCATTAAACAGATTCATTGCTCTCACTGCTACAGCCTTATTTGGGTGGTGCTTTTCTACAAAATTTGCACTGTTTCACACATTTTAAATATCTCCCTAATCTTACTTGAAGTGAAGAATTTTTCACCTTTTTCTCCTCCTCCTCTGCAGATGAGATCTCCTGCATAACCTCTTGCTGTTGGGAGATGATCGCCCACAGTCCCACAGAGAGAGAGAGAGAGAGAGAGAGAGAGAGAGAGAGAGAAACCCACTGGCACAGTTGTAATCATGTGATATTCAGCTTCACATACTACTCATATTGTAGTGCAAGACATCATTCATTTATCAATTTAAAATTGTTTGCTCATCTTGCAGAGTCCTCACAGAACAAGTTACTCACAATCAAGCTTTTACAGCTTTTTTCTTTATGGTCCTACCCCAGGACTTTGCCCCCTTCACATTGTGTGCCCCTTAGGGTCTTCTCCCCAAAATTATATTATACAATTGCCTGGCCCTTTAGTTGTGGTAGACATTTTCCCAACCACCATCTAGCCATGCTGCTGATGCCTTAGGAAATTTGTTCCAGGACTGTTCCTTACCCTCTGGCTATCAACTATACAGCTATAAACCGTATTTTCAGAAACCTCTTGGTCTGGAAAGCCTAACCTAACAAAACTCTTCCTAGATATGTTATAAACCTAATTTAAGGGGAAGAGAGAGATGTTTCAGAGTGCAGTGTCTATGAGCAGAGCCCCTGAGCACCCTGAGGGATAGGGAATCTCATTTGCTAATAGATATTCCCAGTCCAAACCACCAGTGACAGCAAGAGCCCTTATATTCAACTCTGACAGTATTTATCCAGGGACTTTTTATATATCAGTTATTGCTTTTACTAAGTCAACAGTAAAAACAATTTCCCCTATACACTCCATTTTAACTTGCACTAATGCTTTATATCCCTGCACTAACATTAAAAATTCATGGACTAGAGGGAGGTCCCAAAATGGTGGAGCAGTGAATGCCAGCAACTCAGTTTCTCCAGAGTAAAGTGTCTCAAGTCTGTAAAATAATAGCTTGGAGAGGAATCAAAGCGAGAGGAGGGTACATGGAAACCATGAGGGAACTGACAGAGGAAAAGAATAGGATTAAGTTGTACAGAAGAAATAGATCACACCGCAGAGGAGAGACCACACAGCACTGCCAATAGCAGCTAGCTAGCCACCAGCTGGGAGGCAAACTGAAACCAACAACTTTTCTTGCTAAGAACCAGAGACCTGCACCAGGGCTGAGAGCATCTTCTACAGTTGGAGCCAACAGGGAGAACACAAGACGCTGCTTCCAAAGTGTCTTCTGAAGACAACAGTTGGTGAGTGATCTCAGTACAAGCACGCAAGGCCACGGTCATGTGGAGCAGGAGCTGGCAGGGACTCCATTGTAAGGAAGGGCTGAGCGTTTGAACCTGGGTCTCAAAACAGTCCCTCGGCTGCTTCACACTGCCAAGTTCCCAGACTGGATAAGGAAAAGACAGTCATGGGAAACCGTTTACAGTTGCACAGCAGACTAGGCGGAGTCTCACTGAGAAGAAGGGGCTCTGAGCACAGACCCAGATCTCATGGTCAGAGGCCAGTTTCAGTCTGAGCTACACAGGACCAGAAGACACTGTGTTCCCACTGTAAGCAGATCTCTACACCCAGCACCATTCTGGGGTCAGACTGCCACCTTAGACTTCCGGTGTGAAGAGAAACACGTCCTGGCCTCAGCTCTGCTCCTTAATCCTAGACCCAGAAAAAAGCCACATGTCCAAAACAATAGAAAACCTTCCTTCACTATTCTTTATTTATATTATTTTTCATTTCTTTATTTTACTTTTTAAAATGTTTTTATTTTCTTTACGCTTTGCTGTTCCCCTCCCTTTGGTACATTTTCCCACACACTTTTATTCCATTATTTTATCTTTTTTTTTTTTTCATTTTATGAGCACATCTGTGTATGTGTGCTTCTCTTCCTGCTTTTTTTCTCCTAATATAGTTTATAGAAGGTAAGAGAATTCTCCATTGTCCTTGTATATCCCTCCTACTTTTATACACACCCTTGAACATATGGACTTAATGGATATATGGAGTACTCCCCCGCTCTACAAAGAGTATACATTCTTTTCAGGAGGACATGGTACTTTTTCCAAAATAGATCACATACTGGTCCACAAAGCCTGCTTAAGGAAATACAAAAGGATACAAATGACCCCATACATACTACCAGACCACTGTGCAATGAACTAGAAATCAACAACAGAAGAAATCTCAGACAAGGCCAAAGCTCCTGGAAAATTAACAGCACACTCCTAAAGAACCAATGGGACACAGAAGAAATTTAAAACTTTCTGGAAGTTAATGACAATGACAGCACAACCTGTCAAAACTCTGGGACACTATGAAAGCAGTTCCAAGAGGAAAATTCATCATAATCATGTTCACCTTAGGAAAACAGAGCAACCTCAA